GTGATACCTTTTAATTTTTCTCTTGGCCATATTGATGAGAAATAGAATTAAAAAAAATAAAATTGATATTCAAGGTCTGCATATTCAAACAACGTATCTGCTTCTTGTGTTTGAGAACTTTTATTATTTTTCCATAGGCATGTTGAAGAAGTAAGAATTCCGGAGGAAGTACTTTGTCTGAAAGGTACTGGGGTTTTACATAATGCAGCATTTTTTATTTCTTTTGCTTATGCAGCACTTTTTTCTTCATAGGGTTTTCCTCCAATTTGCTTTTGTGTAAATCCCTTGCTTATTGCTCCTTATTTGCCAAAATCAGTCCTCAATTTGTTCTACACCAAATCTGCAGGGAAAACACTTGGTTCAGATAAAAAGGATACACATTTGTATTAATTGAAAGACCTAATGCAGGGATGAGAACCTGAGTGTCCAAATGTTCCTAAGCATATAGTTCTCAACATCCTACGATGTTGGTTACTGTCTGATTATATACAGAATTGTAGCTCAGCATCAACTTTCCTCATCTTTCTTTCTTTTTAAAAAAAAACACAAATTTTATTAATTTTTTAAAGACAAACAAAACATAAGACATAAAATCATAAAACCTCCTTTCTAAAAGTTACTTATAGGTTTTAACAAGGCAAATAAAACATTATTTTATACAGCATAGTTCCACATTATCACATTTCCATTTAAGCACATATATATCTTTTCCAAATTTCTCATTATTTCTCCCTTCACTTTTATTCAATTATATTTCTTTCTATCCAGGTTTTATTAATTCTCAATCAAATATAAACACACAAAATACAAAACATAAAACATAAAACTTCTGACAAACAAAACATAAGACATAGAAACATAAAACCTCCTTTCTAAAAGCTGCTTATAGGTTTTAACAAAGCAAATAAAGCATTATTTTGTACAGCATAGTTCCAAATTATCACATTTCCATTTAAACAGATATATATCTTTTCCAAGTTTCTCATTGTTTCTCCCTTCACTTTTATTCAATTATATTTCTTTCTATCAAGGTTTTATTAATTCTCAATCAAACATAAACACACAAAATACAAAACATAAAACAAGACATAGAAACATAAAACCTCCTTTCTGAAGGCTACTTGTAGATTTTGACAAAACAAATAAGACATTCTTTTATACAACATAATTCCAAATTATCATTTGTACATATCTTTTCCAAATTTCTCATTGTTTCTCCCTTTAGTTTTATTCCTCCAAGGTTTTATTAATTCTCAATCAAACATAGCTAACCAAAACACAAAACATAAAACATAAAACTTCTTTTTGGAAAGTGGCTTAGCCCCAGGTTACATCTTTTTTTACAGACCTAAATCAAATTCATGCTCACCTTATATACCATTCTTATCTTATTTACCATTCTATATTTTCTATATAACTTCTCCCTTCTTTTCACTCTCTTAATTATATTTTGTTTATTTCATTTTATTTTAAAATCATTATACTTGTATCTTTTGTCCGTTCTTTTCCAATTATCTATTTATCTCTTCTCTTTAACAGAAAATTTCCCCTGTAATCACTTTTAAAGTGTGACGCCTTTCTATCTTTCCCCTAAAATTAACACTTAAAATAATACATAATTTCCATTCTGATTCTGCTTAGTACATTCTACATGTTGCATTTTAAAATAAAAGAATAATAAATTTATAATATAGTTAAATATATAATTTCCATTCTAATTCTAATTCTGCTTAATACATTATTTTAAAATAAGAAAATGAAATAGTAAATTTATAATAACATTAAGACAATAACAAATTAAACTGTAACTAAACGTTAATCATTTTACACATTCTCTTTAATATTTTATTGAATATTGAAATCTATCATTATTAAACATTTTAATATTTTATTAAATCTTATAATATCCCAATACACTATTTCAAATGCAAATACTACAATACTATCTTATGTACTCTTGCAGAATCTTTCTTTAATTATGCTTTACCCTTTATCTCTGAAAAAGATCTGCTTTTTGGCATCTTGTTTCAAGCCTTTGTGACTTTTTTTCCCTTTTCCCCTCCCTTTCTTCTCCTGTCTGGCCTTTTTGCCCCCACTCTCCTAACCTCCGTCTTTTTAACTTCCCCTCTCTGTTGTATTTCTCTTTTTTGTTGCTTTCTAACATTGTACCTTTTTTTCACCTTATTTTTCTCTTTCTTGGTTGTTTTGTTAAATCTTAAATTCTAAATTTTCCTTCCCCTCTTCCTATTTTCTTTCTTAGTTGAACTTTTTTGTCCATTAAAGATGGCTTCTTCCTCTCCTTCTCCTTCTCCTCCTCCTTCTCCTTCTCCTTCTTCCCCATGTAGTTGCTGATAAGTAGAAATCGCCATTTCTAAAAAGTGGAAGACAGCTCCCAAAGAATCCTTGCCTTCTTGTTCTCCTTCCTTTAATTTTTCATATTCCATGTTTAATTCATCCACAGATAGTGCCATTATAAAGCTTTTTCTTCTTCTTCTTCTTCTTTTAAGAACAACCCAAATGTTTTTAATCTTAAAGTAATTTCCAAGCATTCCAAAGTTATCAAGCAATCCAAACAGACACAAAATATTTCCTCTTCTCTTTGCACTTTCTCCTCCTGGAGCAAAGTCCCAAAATATATTTTAAAGCCTTATTACAGTTAATTTCTGGTCTTGTAATCTTCAAGGCGTCTCCTCCAACAAATTCTTAAAGATTTTTTAGTCCTCTCCCTTCCCACTTATAACAAAGAGCTTATTTTTACCTTCTGTAAAGAAGCAGGTTTTTCAATGTACGTTTGCTATCTCCGTAAGGAAGGGGAGTGAATTTTCCCTTCAGCACTTTGATCCGCCACTTTGATAGCCTCTTTTGGAAACAAATGTATCAATCAAAGACTCAGATTTCCAGGGTATTTAAATGTATCTTAATGTCCCAGCTCAGCCAAAAAACTTGCTCTTTCTAATTCTTCCTCCTGCACAAATCTTGTCCGGGTGAAGATCTCTTTGTGGCTGCCATTACTGACAGCCGCTCCACCGCCTCAGGAAAAAGGAGTCTAGCCAGCTGGGGAAAGGGGTTGCGATGTCCCCAGACCCCTGCCCGGGTCTCCTCTATCCTTCAACTACCTCTCCGGGGTAGCGGCAACCCCCAAATCCAATTGGATCGGGGGTAGTTCAGCAGCGAGGGCAGCAGGGACCCGCAGAATCACGGATTCCTGCCGCCGCCGAAGCCTTGCAACCGGAAGTTCCGCTGTGCTCATCTTTCTTTTATATCAATGCAAGGAATTCATCTTTTCCATGTAGCCCTTATTTCTTTTTTCCCTAGATGGCTTCCAAAAGACTCAGACAAATACTTTTTTGGACAACCATACTAGTCTTTGCTGGGTTGTGTTTTTTGATCAAGTGGACTTCAGTTGGAGTATGCAACTTCTGTAGGACCAAAACTGAGGACATGTTTTTAAAACAAGGCAGTGGACATTTTTTGTTGGTACCTCATTCAGACTGTAGCCAGAACCCTCCATTTCTGGTCATTCTAGTAACTTCCTCTCCTACTGATTTAAAAGTTCGTGTAATAATCCGTGAGACCTGGGGCAAAAAAAAATTAATAGCAAATAAATTTATTGTAACCCATTTTCTTTTGGGAACTACCTTGAATCTTGAAGAACAGGTTGCTGTGATTAACGAGAGTTTGAAATATGGAGACATCATCCAGAAGAATTTTATAGATACCTATTATAATTTAACATTAAAAACTATGATGGGCATTGAATGGATTCACAAATTCTGCTCAGAGTCTAGCTTTGTAATGAAAGCAGACTCAGATGTGTTTGTAAATACCTACTATCTGACTGAACTCCTTCAAAAAAAAATCCAGAATACCAGATTCTTCACTGGCTTTTTGAAACAAAATGAGCATCCAATACGGAAAATATCCAGTAAATGGTATGTGAGTAAACTTGAATACCCAAGAAACATATACCCTCCTTTTTGTTCAGGGACTAGCTATGTTTTCTCAACAGATGTTGCTAGTCTGGTGTATAGAATTTCTGACAATATTCCTTTTATTAAGCTGGAGGATGTATTCATAGGCTTGTGCCTTGCTGAACTTGATATCAAACTGGAAAACCTCCATTCCAAGCAAACTTTCTTCCCTGAAAGGCTTGAATTTTCACCTTGTCGCTTTAGGAAAATTGTGGCCAGCCATTTTGTGAAACCTCATGAGCTGATGATCTTTTGGAATGCACTGGAGAGATCCATGGATGAAAAATGCCCTGATGGCTGAAATCCTCCTAAAGTT